TTAGTTTTATTTTTTTATTTTGAAATTATTTTGGAAAAAAAGAGATTTTAATTTTGAAATAGATTTTGATTTTGAAAAATAGTGTAATTTTGAAAATAAGGTCGAACAAATCTTGAATATTTGATTGTTTCAATAATCTAACACAACATTACAAATAATGTGTCATCTCGAAAGATGAAAATATCGCTTAGTGATGAACTCAATTATTCAAACTAAGAAAATTAGAATATCTATTCGGTCTATAAAATTTCCAACAAATTCTTCCCCTTCTGAAGATTCGATAGGGTTTATATTATATGGCTTACCAATTCTTTTATAGACGCAACCACTATAGTTAATTATATCTTAAGCGATTGAAATAACTTAAGAAAACTCTCAATTTAGATTAGAGTTTTGTCTTCAAGAATTCAAAGTTTAGTTTTCACGACTGATTATAGGGAAAAAGGTAAATGCTTAATTTGGAACAGTTATTTCAGAACCCAAAGAAATGAAAAATATGAGAAGTTGAAAATGCTGAGGAAACCTAAGTGACATCTTAACTTGCCTACGATTCAGTTTTACATTTTTGAAAGGGGAAATTATACAATATTTCAATTTTGAAATTTATTTAAAAATTTAGGACTTACATTTTGCATGGAATACAATTATGCAAATAGTTCAAGAAGATAGGGGGATTTACGTTGTACCTAACAACGACCTCAGAATCCTAAAAAGAGTTATGACTTATAACGCACGACATACAATTATGTGAAAGCCTAAAAGATAATGTGGGATTTTACGTCATGCCGCACGAATATCCTTGAAATCCTAAAGGTCCATGTTGATTAAGTCTATAGAAAGAAAGAAAAATTCATGCCTCATGAAGCATATCCTAGCTTCTTGTTGTTGTTTAGTTTTTGTGAAGTGACTTTTCGCTTAATTTTTTTTATTAAAGTTATTAAATGGAGAATATTATTTTATGTTAAGTGATGACGGTCAAGATCTCGTGGCTCAATCTTCCCGACGTCATTGTTAATTTAGAATTTACTTTGTCTAAAGAATCTGTTAAACTTCTTTAAATCAGAGAGTTTTTGTTAGCAATCATGAGTTACCCCATCCAATAATTCTCTTAAATTCAAAGGGTAAATTATTATTATTATGTTATTATTAATATTTTTTAATTTATATGATTCATTTGAATTAATTTATAAAAATATCTTATGAATTTATTTTATTGAATATATTTTTTCTTATAAAATTTTGAAAATTATTTTGTCAAGTGAATGTGTTAGTCAAGTTTTATATGTTTCATTCTAAACATATGTTTTACGTCCGCTATTCTAAGATTTCTTATAAGAAAAGAACAAATTATACATTTTAAAGTTTTCCGCCTTAAGCATATGTTCTATGCTCATTACCCTATGGTTTCTTTGCACATATAAGAAACACACTAAGTAACAAAAGAATAACAATAGCACATGCATAAATAAAACATAAGCAATCAAGTGTAGTAATAGCAAAATGGTAGTAAATACATGCCACCTTTGTGATATCTCGGAAAAATTACAATTATATATTACACATGCATGTATATAAAAATGGAACTAATATTGAATATTTTGAAATTTAAATATGAAATATATATAAACAAAAGCATGCATATTCGTGTACAATTTAGGTGTTAGATATATGAAAAGTTAGAATTGGATATAAGTATTCTGAGCTGGGGATGAGCCCAACCTCACACTTTCAACCTTAATAATCTAACAGGCAACCAAAGCATCAATGTGCATAGACCAATACTGGTAGAAGCTATCAACGAAACACTCAAGGGAGGGCAATTCTAGATCCAAACCAACTGACTGACAAGTTGACATATAAAAGCTAGCACCTAAAATTCTCAATCATATGTATAAGTTTTTGATTAAAGGCTCCAGTAACATAAGTTAAAGGATATCAAAATTAATGCCACAAAGAAATCTCCCATCAAAATAGTCCACTAGCAATCTATACTTTGGGTCAAAATTAAATATCATATGTATAAACTTACAAAATTTTGAGAAAATTTGATTATGTATATATTGTGATTTTGGTGTCAAGCCCGTAAATACATAAGAAGAGAGAAAAGTGATTTCTTTTATTACCTTTCTTCTTTATTTCTCATTCTCATAAGAATATTTAAATAAGTCACAACTTAAAACATAAATTATGTCTTTAAGTAAAAATAAATGCTGGTTCAAAACCGTTGCTAATAGTTTCCAACACAGCAAAAACTATATTACAAATAAAACCTTTTACATGCATACTACTCAATCTTTATGTATATATTTATACATAAAGATTGAGTAGCATGCATGTAAAATAAATATAGGATGACTTTCAACTTTTGTCTTTAGTGGCCCTACAAAGCAAAATTAGCACAAAGTTACATTTTAATTTGTTAAATTTTTAACTTCTAGATAATCCTGTCAAGATGTCTATGGCTCCGTCGTCTAAGGGTCGTCGGGTACCCTGAGCTACTTAGTCCGAGAGGCGATTAAACCCACTTAAAGCGAATGGTTTCTGACATCAACCACAGATTGCGTCGTCCAAGAGATCTTCGTAGATCCGACCAGTTTGGCTAAAGTTGTGTTTGGTAATCTTTGTTCATTAGAGTTTCATTTAAGTTTTAGTGTTTTTTTTCAGTTTTTAGGGGTTGACAAATTTTAAGTTGCTTAAGTTTTATTGGCGGATTAATTTTTTTGTTATTTTGTTTATTTCGTTTGGGATGACCCGATCAAGATTCTATGGTTCCGTCGTCCCGGGTCATTAAAGTTTTTGGTTTGATTAGTCACAAGTGATTGAAAATTTTTTTTTAGCAACCATGGATTACCTCCTCCAAATATCTTCTCAAACCAAGTTACATTTTAAACTTTAAGTATAAGTCTTACTATCTTTTAAGGTGAATTTTATGTCATTTATGCTGGTTTGACAATTTTAACCCAAGGTGACTCTAACTGAGGCTAAGTGAGCTTTTGCTTTCATACGAGAAGACAAAACCCTATTTTGTTATGAAATATATACCAGAGCAGTTGATGTGGTATATATATAAATCAAACAGGAGAACGATCGACGAAGCGAAAAATAGAACGAGAAAAACTACACCAGAAAAGAACACACAGATTTACATGGTTCGGCAAATTGCTTACGTCCACGGAGTTGCAAAGGAATTTACTACTTTGAGGAAATTTACACCAGTCGATCACCTCGACTTATAAGAGGAATCTCTCACTCTTTGTTGCTCTCTCTCTTCTTCTCTCTCTGTTCTTCTCTCTCTACACCGAGATACATCGAAGAAAACACAACACCGAGATACACCGAAGAAGACAAACTTACAAGAGAAATAAACTCAATTTATCTTCTGTCACAAGCCACCAAGAAGAAGCCTAGAGAGAACAATCTTCTTCTTCTTCCTTCTTCTTTCATCACCGCAAGAAACTATTCCTCCTTGCACTTCTTCTCTTCCACTGTCCCATGGAAACTCGAAGAACTCTTCCTCTATCCCGAGGAAACCTAAAGAAGAAAATCGTGACTTATTGTAACATCCAGATATGAAGGAGAGCCTCTCCTTTTATCATGAAGATAAGGGAGCGAAGGGATGCTTCTCTTCGTGAAATAGAGGAGGCGGGAACGGTTTCTGGCGAATGGATGCTTCTCTTCGCAAAAAAGAAAGGAGGGAGTGGTTATTTGTGAGGTGTGACCCTTCGCGATCGGAAGCGTTATTTCCCGAAAACAGAAGGAGAGGCGGGAGCGGGAGTTTGCGGGGTGGGTGGACCGGACTCCACGCCGCCACGCCGACGCTAACATATTTAACCTTCAGTCATCCTAATTTAAGTTTAGATTAGTTTAAGTTGGGTTGAACTGATCTAAAGAGAGATTTGAAATAATTTGAGTTAACCTAGATTAGGTTGATTGTCCTCAAACTATCTTTAAACTTGTTAAACCGACCACAAATTAATAATATTAACCCAGATTTAGCTTGATTAAAATCAAACTAATTTGACTTGCTTTTACTTTGACTTAAAATAAGCCAAATATAATCAAGCTGACTAACTTAAGAATAGATCAGGTTAAACTGAACTAATTCAAGCTAACCTTTTGAGTTATATCAAGTTTAAGTTAATTAGACTAGTATGAAGCCTGAATTAATATTAGACTTGAGTTTTCTTTACATCTGAGTTAGGTTGGACTTAAATTAATATTTGATTAATATGAGGTTAAGGCTTATGTCAAATTTAAAGTAGAATTTCAAGTTGGGTCAATCCCACTTGCGTCAGATTGACCCAGAGATTGAGATAAACCAAGTGAGATTGGGTTAACTCAAAAATTTAGGTGATTTAGTCTAGATCCAAGTTAAGTCAAACTTTGTCCAAACCTAAACTAATTCTAAGTTATATTAAGCTTAGATTAGATCTAGATTGGGCTAGACCTATAAAGGAATTCAACTTGAGCCAAGTCTAAACTAAATTAAACTTAGGGTATGTTTGAGGCAGTAGTAGCTTATTGAATAATCTGCTGATAGGCTAGGTGCAGTGACTATTACAAATTTCTATTTTTTTGGAAAAAGTCAGACTGCTACAAGAAAACTGTCATCACACCTAGATGGGTGTGAAAACATTAGCATTTTGAAAACGCATGTTCCAAATAGATCTAATGCATTCTGAAAAAGCTACAACATCAAATAAGTGCCCCCAAACGGGCCATCAGAAGGAAAAAATTTACGTACGTAAGACGTACGCAGCGTTGCGTACATAACAGAAGTTATATGGACGTTATATCGTCATTATATTCGTGTTATATCCATTATAACATTCATGTAACCTCTATATAACCTGCTTGTAACCTACCTGAACTTACAAATAAGTTTCACGCTTATGTTTTTACATATATGTATGTTACATTAAAGTTATATGAAAGTTAGAATGAATATAACACAAACGTAATGCTGATACGACACACATATAAATACCCAAATTTTTTAAATTTTTTTTCCAATGAGAGAGCTACAGCTCTTGAGACGCCCATAGTTTCCCGTGCAGCAGAGTTTGCTCCAATCTTTACTGCTAACGCTGACCTTCGCACGCTCTTAACCTTTCTTCTTCAACCCTAAGCACATCTCAGCCTACCACCGCGCGATCTACTTGGAGCCATGACCGAACAGCTGACGGATGAACAGATCTCAGAGTTTAAGGAGGCATTCAGCTTGTTCGACAAGGATGGAGATGGTCAGTGTCATTTGATTTGAGTAACTTCATTGGTTTTATATCCCCAAGGATCTGCTATGATTTTTATGTTCTTTGTCTGACTTAGATGCATGAGATCTGGATGTTTCCGTTGGATTGGCTTTTGATATTCTGTTCGGAACTTGCGTCTTTTGATGTTCCGTTAGGGTTTTGGGGAATGAATTATGAGGCCGATTGCGGAAGATTATGGTTTATGTTTTCATGTTTCGGTTTAGGCCTTATTATTGGTTTATTAATTGTTGATTTGTTTTATGCTGAGCTGATGTCTTTCTATTGTTAGATATGTGTGGCTGAAGCAATTTGTGTAGATCTGGTGGGTTTTGGGAACTGTCATCTCTATTTTAGATTAAGCAGTAAAGGTTTGTGATGGCTGAACTGTTCTTCGTATAGGGGCATGACTGCGGCGAAGAATTCCTGGCAATGGTGATTAAGATTACGGATCGCGTTATTTACCGTACTTTTGCTAGGTTGAAGTTTGTGTAGCATTTTCTTATGTCGATGCGGATTTAACATTTGATGCTTTCAATTTTTCTCATTTTTCGATATTGCTGTCAATTTTTTATTTCCTTGCCGTTCTATTTTCCGTAAAACCAACTTTTCAATCAATTGTTTCTATTAAACGGAGATAGAAAGAACCAAAAAAAGAGAGTTTTTAAACTGGTTCCTACATTTGTATTACGCTGTTGAATAGAAATTACTGTTTTGTTAGTACTCTCATGGGATAATTTTTGAAAGGTGCCTCCTTCCTAATTAAAATAGATGGGATTTTGATCAGCTCTTTCACACGGCCTTGGTGTGAATATGTTGATTTTGTTTTTGTGTGACAAGTACTGATTTGTTTAAGTTCATGCATAGAAGTTGCCTAATTTTAGTCTTTTGAATTCTAGATTTAAAAGGATGCACTGCAGTTTGTGTTTTGCCATGGTCATTTCTTAGAAATTTAAGCAATGTTGAATTAGGTTTAATGCATCATCATAAAATTCATCAGTTAAGTGTGAATCATGATGCAAATTTTTAGATCTCAAAGCAATTAAGTTTTCAAATTTAAATCTTTTGGAATCAAGTGAGAGGATATTATATTTTTGTTTTTGAATTGTATTAATAAACATAATTAATTAGTTAGTTAATAATAATTAATAGTCTTGTATTTTACAAATAGCTCTATTTGGAGCACATTGAGGCATGGAATGAAAATGTGGTAAGCTTCTCTCCCAATTATGTATTTCTTCTTCTACTTCTCTTTTTAATTTCTGGAGTTGCCGATATTCTTGAATTGTCATTTATCTTTATCAATCTATGTTTCTTTTCTCTTTTTATCCCCACCCCAATTTTTGGAATTGCAGATAACCGTTAATTGTCGATTATTAAGATTCAAGAAATGAGATCATATCAATTGGAGCTCTATTGTGTCCTCGCCCTCCACCGTCACATCTCCCTATCTATAGGCCTTCATTGTGCGAAATCTTCACCACCCTCTTCAAGATTATTTCTAGATCTTCAAGATTTTACCGCCAAGCTGATATTGTTGTTCCTTTTCATGATCCACAAATCTACACTCGCCATTCACATCCTTTTTTCAAGATCCGCTATCCGTTTAACTGTTTGCAACCCTTAATATCACATTCCATTTTCCAAGATCCACACCTTTATATAACTTCAATAATATCATTAGAAATTTGGTTCGTACATTGCCTCGTTATCGCCATCATTTCCAACAGTGTCGTTCTCCCCATCAGTTTCCTTCAACATATCTTCCGTATTCTCTTTATCGAACACTCAAGGTCGTTGAATACGACATATAAAAATCTCATAATCATTGGTGGAGCTAAAATTAGGGTAGTGGGGGTCCATGCCCCCATTGGCCCAACTCAAAATCTACATGCCGAAGGTTCTCAAAATCTACATGCCCAAGGCATATCCTCATAGATTTTTGGAGTTGCCTCAATAATTTGTATAAACTGTTCGACAAAGTTGCTTGTGGTGGGTCGGGGTCATTGATGCACGAAGCCACCAACTGTGAGATATGACTTTTAAGGAAAGCAGTTCCCTCTTTTTTTCAGCTCAAAGAAGCTTTAACCGACTCGTGGACTCAACTTCATAGAGGTTTGGGCTGGGGCCTTCATTAGAATCACCTGTTTGATTAGCTCCCAAATTTCCGGGGATATCACCCCGCCTCATTAGGGGCACATCCACGACACCTCCAAACATACGATCCAACTTTTGTAGCTCAGGATCGATTCCATGGTATTTAAATTTTTTTTGCAGCAGACACTATTTAAAAATTCATACAATTTGATGGATTTGAAAACAAATTAAAATTGACAAAAATAGGAGACATTTCAAAAATCCTCACTGTCAGTCTCTCTGTCTACCACCTCTCAGAACCATCAATCGTTCGTTTTACTGGATCCAACCCCAAGCCTGTTTATTTTCGCTTTAATTCCTTTAAAAATTTTCGTTTCTGTTTTTAGCCGATCTCACTTGTTTTTTAAATGCCTCCCATCGTAATCTCTGTTTGTACTTTTGTTGAATTTTCTAATAATATTCCGACAATATTCCTTGTTGAAATAGGTTGTCGGTCTATGTTTCAGTACGATCTCCTTAAAGCAAATGTCGCAAAATTTTAATTTTGTCCTTTATTCTACATTGCAGATGAACCTGTCTCTTTTATCTTAATTATTATATTACTAACATGAAGAAAAACTAATTAACATAAATATGAATGTCACAATATCGCAACTCAAAGAAAAATAGGAATGTCACAATATCATCACCAATGCCCCTTCACACCACATTACACCACCTACACATAATCATTGCCATCACCTCCAAATATACACCCCTCCACACACCAACAAATTCACAACACCGCCACCACCACCTCCACACAAAAACAACCACATGCCAACTACCACCTTCACAATACCACCAACACATCCTCTAAAACAAACACGACTACACACCAACCACCACCTCCGCAACACCATCACCTCCACACATCCACCAACACATCTCCTAACATTAACACAACCACACACCAACCACCACCTCCACACAAAACCAACATACACACCAGCATACACCACCACCTCCACATCCACAACATTGCTATCAACAAATCAAGCACTCTCTTTCAACATTTTTTCAAATTCTTTGCCAATCATCAAAGGTAAAAAGAAAACCTCATCCCATATTTCTCATTTGATGTAATTTCATACAAGGCAACCGAAACATTGCTAACATTTTTTCAAATTCTCAGCCAAACATCATAGGTAAAGATAAAACCACATCTCATATTTTTCATGTGATGCAATTCTATACAGGACACTCGAAACATTGCTATCAAGAAATCAATCACCCCCTTTCAACCATTTTTCAAATTCTTTTTCAAACATCAAAGGTAAAAATAGAACCTCATCCCATTTTTATCATTTGATGCAATTGCATATAGGGGCAACCGAAACATTGCAATTAACAAATTAAACACCCTCTTTCAGCCATTTTTCAAATTCTCACTCAAGCATCAAGGTGTAGATAAAATCTCATGCCATATTTTTCATTTGAGGCTACTATATACAGGGCACCCAAAACATTGCTATCAACAAATCAAGCACCCCCTTTCAGTCATTTTACAAATTCACAATCAAACATCAAAGGTAAAGATGAAATCCCATTCCATATCACATTTAATCACAAAATCGCAAAATCCGAATTCCAAATCATATAGAGAAGCCACAAATCACAAAATCAAAATTCTCCCTTCAAATCACAAATGAGAAACCAGAAATAACAAAATCCAAATTCTCACTTCAAACCATAAATGAGAAAGTCACAAATCGCAAAGAGAAAGTAATTCCATAGAAAAAAAAAGGTGATACCGTGGGAGGACGAAGAGCAAAGTAAACAGACAGATAGCCAGAGATCTGAGGAAGTAGGGAGAGGAGGGGCAATCCTTTGCCACCAGAGATCAGTGGGAAGAAAGGAAGGAGAAAGGCAACCCGTTGCCACCAAAGAGAGGCGTGAGAGAGCAGTGATCGAGAGAGGTGTGATTTTGGGCATAAGAAACGCGAGAGAGAGGGGAGCAGTGAGAGGGGCGTACGAGTAATAGGTTCACGAAGAAACCCGAGCCGCGGTGTCAAACTCGTGCCCGCGTTTAACAAAACTTTTTAAACAATGCTACTGCGCTGCGGTTTCCAAACGCCTTGTCCAACGCTTTCAGAGCACACCGCACCAAATAAGTTGCCCCAAACAGGCTGTAAATTAATCTCCACTAACTTTTTAAATGTCAAATACACCTTTTGAGGAACTTTTTAAATGTAAAATATATCTTGAGGCATAGTTGTATGACACCAAGGTCTTAGAAGTATAAATATCAAACTTTTGGTGTTTTAAATGTAAATACATAATAATTGTGTGGCATGCATGTAAATTTCCCTATTTATTTGAGAAACTTGACACATAAAAATGCATATGCAACCATATAATCTGATTTTTATACCTGGAATTCGGGCAGGTTGCATCACTACCAAGGAGTTGGGTACGGTGATGCGTTCACTCGGTCAAAATCCCACAGAAGCGGAGTTGCAGGACATGATTAATGAAGTGGATGCAGATGGTAATGGTACAATCGACTTCCCAGAATTCCTCAACCTCATGGCTCGCAAAATGAAAGATACAGACTCTGAGGAGGAGCTCAAGGAGGCCTTCCGGGTGTTCGATAAGGACCAGAATGGCTTCATCTCTGCTGCGGAGCTTCGCCATGTCATGACCAACCTTGGGGAGAAGTTGACAGATGAGGAGGTGGATGAGATGATCCGAGAGGCCGATGTTGATGGTGATGGCCAAATCAACTACGACGAGTTTGTGAAGGTCATGATGGCCAAGTAATGAAACATGAAGAAACTTTATGAAAGTATGATGGAAAGAGTCATTTCATGACAAATTAGTAAGTCGTTGTCCCTTTCTCTTCGTTTTCTCTTTAATTGTAGTTGTAAGATGATGAGACTGCTCCCTCTCTTGTTACCAGTATATTTGTGTTTTTGCTCTTGTTTTCATCTATGTTTTTATAAATCCCATTTGATTCATTCCAGAGTGTTTAGAAGCTTTTTTCTTTGGGCGTTACATACCACCCAATTCTTACATTTTTACATATCTAACAACTAAGCATTACTTCTTACACTTACACCACCCAAATCTTTCACATCACATAAAAAATAACACTATTTTAACTTTTAAAAGTGAAATACACATTTTCATGTAAAGTAAGGCGGCATATAGGCAAAATTTAAAGTTTGGGTGTTTGATGTAAATACATTGGCATTAAGTGGTGTATATGTAAACCTTCTTTTTTCTTACCATTGGCTGTCTACCGTTATATTTTTGGGATATGCACATACATGCCACACAATTCTTATGCAATTCACCTTCTCAATCATAAATTTTTAATATCAAGGTGTTATAAAATGTAAATATCAAACTTTAGAGGTTAGATATATAAATGCATATGAATTGTGTAAATTTCCCATTATTTTTAATTTTTTTTTCAAACTATTGAAGACCTGTTGATAGAACTTAACACTTATTAATTGTTGTAGCGAGTGCCTTATTTTTCTTGTTTTCGTCTGCTGAAGGTTTTATTATTGTTGTATTAGTACAGGAAGAAGTTCTGATTCTATATGCTTATTTACGTTTTAATGTTGCTATTGTTGAGAAAAGCTGAGCTTGCCTTTGATAGAATACCCAATCAAATTTTATCAATCAAATTTGTATCAAATACAAGGACATACATGAATATATATAGAGAAGAGATGAGCAAGATAACAAATTAAAAGAATAAAGTATCCTATTCTAATCTGCCTAACGTCCCCCTTCAAACTGACGATCGATGTCAGAGATTGTAAGTTTGTCTCGAAGACGCTGAAATCTGGCCTGGATAGTGATTTGGTAAAGATATCAGCTAGTTGGTCAGTAATATTGATGTGATGAATGATAAGTTGTTGATTTTGTATGCACCCTTGGATGTATTGGATGTAATGGCAGTCGATCTCAATATGTTTCGAGCATAAAAGACAGGCTTATTTTCAAAAGCTATGACCGAGATATTATCACAATGCATTGGAGTGCTTTATGTATAGGGATCTTAAAGTCTTGTAGGAAACTCCGAAGCCAGGTGACATATATGGCAACATTGCCAGAGAGTGATATTCAACTTCAGTCGAAGAATGAGTTACTGTGACCTGCTTTTTGACCATCATGAAATGAGAGTGGAGCCTAGAATAACACAGAAGCTGGGATTGGATGACTGATCCATGGGATCCGCTTCCCAGTGGGCATTGACATAGGCTGTAAGAGTGAGTGCATCCTTAATGATGGGTAGACTGAGGGTCTGCTTGGGGCAATTGTAGCTTATCCAGACTTATCCTGATAAGCAGGTTGACTGTTTGGTTTGTGCGTTTGGAAAACAACTAATTTATATTTGTTTTTGGATAAATGATCATTCTGTCTTTGATATGGATAAGATGTTTAGCTGTTTGGTTTGTGCGTTTGAAAAACAACTGATTTGCAACTTTTTCTGGATAAATGACCATTCTGACACTGCGCAGTGTTGCTGTTTGCAACAGAACGGTAACGGTTACATATTTGATAGTTGAGAACAAAAAAAAATACTTCATAATAGTACAAAAAAGGATATACATCTCACTTAAGAGTGAGTATCAAGACACCTATCAGAAAAGAAATAACATATTAAAATTTTAATTAAAAGTATGATAATATTCATTTTAAAATGCAGAAGAAACATATCACGAGCAACTTTGTCCGGTTAAGACACCGTCGAACCTCGAGCAACGTTGTCCGTTTGGGACACTTATGGCCTACAGAGCACACCCAAGCCACCACACACAAGCACAACTAACATTCACCACCAACCCACACACCCAAGGCCAACAGAGCACACTCAAGCCATCATAAACACCACTCACAACCACCACACACAAGCACACCTCACATCCACCACCCACCCACACATACATGGCCTAAAGAGCACACCCAAGCCACCTTAAACAAATTATCAAAATAAAAAATTATAACAAATTATCCAACGTTCACTATAATTAAATGCATATCAAAACATTATATGCAGGATAGACACTCATATGAAAATTTGATGCAAGCTAAATGAGTTCTTCGTACAAATTAATAATTGTTAAATGGTAGATACTGCTTTTTTCATTTTTTCTAGTACAACCAAGCTATCACCAAACAACATAATCCATCCAATATTCACTGTCCCGGTTGAGCACAAAATTTAATTCCAATATAAGATCATTTCATGAACATTCACCCTTTATTAAATAAGATTAGAAAAAAAGATAATAGGTTGATATTCTCCATAATATTCACCGTCCCGGTTGAAAGAAAAGCTCAAAATTCACTTCCACTATAAACTACTCAATGTGAAATGATCAATCGAACTTGAAGTGGAAGCCATACAACCACAATCCTATGAATTTTCCAAACATGATAGAAAATAACCTCCATGGAAACAATCAATTTATTACAGGATACCCAAAATGAAGGATTGCACACATCAAACAGGTGCTTCCCAATAAAAAACCGCATAAATTAATCTAAGAAAACCATGAACAAATCTCAATCTATCAAACAAATGTTTGGTATCGCCACAAATTTTTCAAAGAGAACCATGGGATCGGAAACCGTAGAGGGTAAATGAGAGCAATGAAAGGAAAACCATTAAAATTAAACATATAGGAATAATATTGCGAGATACCAGATGAATGTCAAGAACTGAGGGTGAAGAGAGGGAGAGCGGGGATGGAGAACCAGCCTAGGGCAAGCGTGGTCACATGAGGGAGAAGGGCATGAGAGGCAATTGATGATCAAGCATAGCTCTTCGAAGCAAAATGCCGCGGCCCAATTCCTTTAATAAAACCTAAACGCCATTTTCAAAATGCCAGCTGAACGCTCAAACCAAATAGTATTTCGGCGTTTTCAAAATGCCAAATGCAGCAATAAATTTCCCCAAACACACCCTGATAGTTGCCTTTGATGTAGCGAGGAAGGCATTTTAGTTGCTGAAAATTGGTATGAGTTGAAAGATGCATGGTTTGGCTCACTTGATTTAATGCAAAGTTGATATCAAGTCTTGTTAAAGTAAAATCTTGGAGTGAGCGTCGGTTAATGAGTCAGAGGCATCAAGAGAAGCAATAGGTCCACCTACTTTACGTTGTGTGGTGGGGTTTGTGACCAATTTGGAGTCGTGTGTGCTGGAGGTATGAAGGATTAGTTGAGCATAGGAGGCTTGAATTAAAAATAACTCGGAAGGTGTCCGAAGAGCAGTAATACCAAAGAAGTTTGATATTTTTCCCAGATTTTTCATGTTAAATTTGATTTGAAGAGTAGCAATGGTCTTCATAATGTAGACCAAATCAGTTCCAGAAATAAGGAAATCATCCACTGAGATAATTACATAAAGATGAATGGAGTCATCGGCTGAGCTGGAGTTGAAATTCTTTTTATGAAATTGGGTGATTAGAGTGGTGTATCGCTCTCTAGGGGCTTGCTTGAGCCTATAGATAACTTTCTGAACTTTGTAGATGTAGTGTGGATGAAGGGGATCCACAAAGCCCTTTGGTTGTTCCATGTAGACCTCTTCATTCAAGAAACTGTTCAACACATCCAATTGAGTAATTTGTCAATCATGAGAAATTGCTATGGTCAGAAAAAAATGAATAGTGGAAATTTTAGTAATACGACTAAAAGTTTTGATGTAGTTAATACCTTCAACGAGTCGAGCTTTGTATCGAGCCACCGAGCTATCGCCATTGTATTTAGATTTGAATGTCCACCGACAACCCAATATATTTTTGTGTTGGGCAGGTGGAACCAGCTCCCAACTCCTTTGATCTTGTAAAGTCTGGAATTCGCAAGATATGGCTTTGCCCCCAATTTTGTTTTTCGCAGCGGTGTTGTAGCTGATAGGATCCGTAAGTTGCATTTGGCGAGTTAAAGCAAAGATTTGCTTGGGCTTAAGGTGGTCGGTTTTGGCTCTTGTAACCTTATAATATACAGGAATGGGGGCGGGTTGGGAAGAGGAGGGGACCAAGGGTGGAGAAGGGGTGGGGGAAGTAGCATTGCACTGTAATGGGAGAAATTCAGATCGCGGCAGAGACGTGAGGAGGACTGCTAGAAGGGGTAGATTGAGAATGATGAGGTAGAGGCCGGTGTAGAGAAGACCTAGGAACCAAGAGAAGCGGAGGTAACTCAGTCATAGGAGATAAGACATTTGTAGATTGTTGAGACAATTGCCCAAAAGGATATACATTTTCGTTAAAGATCACATGTCGTGAGATGTACACTTTGTTAGATTGAATATCAAGATATTTATAGCCTTTTTGAGAGGAAGTGTACCCAATAAACACACACGGCTTAGATAACGGAGATTGTTTATTTTTGGCATCACGTTTGAGCCGAGGAAAGCGTTGGCACCCAAAGATTTTTAAATGAGTGTAGGTAGGGCGGTTGTTATAGAGTATTTCATGAGGAGATGTGAAATGAAAATTTATGTGGGAAACCAATCAACAAGATAGCATGCTATAAGAAGAGTATCGGCCCAAAGGGTGGTGTTTAAGGAGGATTCAGTTAGAAGAGTTCGAGCAGTTTTGATAAGGCATCGATGCTTCCTTTCAGAAACACCTTTTTGTTCAGGAGTGTAGGAACAAGTATAGTGATGTTGAATATCAGAGTTTTGAAGAAAAGTAATGAATTGAGTATTGCAGTACTGGTCACCACAGTCAATGCATCCTGCCTGTAGCAGAGAAATAGGCGGATGACTCAATTGTGCCTCGTCAAGATTGCTTGCGGCTGCACACCGAAATTCTACGAAGAGGCAGAGAAATTAGCAGGAAAATCCAAGAAGCTTTAATGCCTTTCAAGTATGACGTTTGCTGTCGAAGATGAATCACGGGTGGGTGCTTTCATTCAGACTAACTGCAATGCGGCAGTGGAGCAGATGGAGAGGTTGAAGAGGAAAATAGCAGCAGAGGAGAAGAATAGAGGGCTAGAA